GAAGACCCTTTAGTATAACCTGGAAGCCTCTCCATGTAAATTGTCTCTTTAAGATCGCCACCCAAAAATGCGTTCTTTACGTCCAACTGAAAAAGTGGCCAACCTTTCATCGCAGCAATCGCAAATATACAACGTACTGTCTGCATTTTTGCGACTGGTGCGAACGTTTCATCATAATCTATACCGTATTCTTGGAGAAAACCGCGAGCTACTAACCTTTCTTTAAATCTCTCTATAGTGCCGTCCGGGTTCATCTTTATTGTATAAATCCATCTACATCCAATGACTGACATGCCCGGCTGTCTAAGCACCAATTTCCATGTACCATTTGCCTCTAAAGCTTCTGTTTCTTCCACCATTGCCATGTTCCACCTTGGGTCTTCACAAGCTTGTTCATATGTTGCTGGGATCACACATGGTTCTTCTGCATACCCTTCATAATCGAGTAGACGAATGGGGGGACATCCCAAGTTTGCTCGACTTGATCTGCGGGGCTGCTGTTGACCATTTTCAATTTCATTAAACCCACCATGAGCGCCATTTTCAATTTCATTAAACCCACCATGAGCGCCATTGTGACTCCCATTTCCAGAATTACCAGACTCACTACCTTCCCCCGATGTTGGCGAGTTCCCATGCTCTCCCGATGGTGAACCCGAACTCGAGCTTGAGCTGCTCGACGCAGAGTTGGAGGAGCTGGTCCTCCCTAAAGTCGAGCCATGTGTACTGGAGCTAGACGAGGCCGGGCTGAGCGAGCCTCCAGGCGAATGATGCGGAAGCTCAGAGTCCGTCCCTCCCTGAGTTCCCATCGGAATATGTGGAGAAGCATCAAAACTTGGCATTGTCATTAACCAATCAAGACAAGTGGAAGTGGACGGTTCAGAATCATGCCCAGAAGACGACGAATAATACATTGTGTCTTCAAGAAAGAACACATGATAAGCTATGCGCATTCGCTTCCCGACGGGATCATAGCAACAATAGCCTTTATGTCGGTCACTATATCCCAGGAACACACACTTGATGGCCTTGGGAGCGAGCTTATGGTGATCCTTCCTGGGCAATAGAACAAAACAAGTGCAACCAAAGACGCGTAAGAACGAGTAATCGGGTGACCGCGAGTATAAAACTTGATATGGAGAACATTGATCCAGCACAGGAGTAATCTGACGATTTATGAGGTAAACAATCGTGTGAACTGCCTCCACCCAATAGCCACTCGGAACTTGAGAATGAAACAATAGAGCACGTGTAAGTTCCAGAACATGCGGGTGTTTACGCTCTACCAAACCGTTTTGCTGCGAAACACCCGGGCACGAGAGTTGGGAAATAATGCCCTCAGACTTGTAAAAGTGCAGCAACTCATGTTTCGTGAATTCGCCACCCTCATCCGACCTAAGAACTTTGATTGTTTTGCCAAATTGTGTTTTGATAAGCTGCACAAATTCTTTAGCAATAGAACACAATTCAGACTTCTGCCGATGGAAGTATACCCAAGCATATCTCGTCTTGTGATCAATAAACAAGGCGAAATATTTGAAACCCAAACGTGAAGTGACTGGCGAAGGACCCCACAAGTCTGTATGAACTAGATCAAAGGGTTCAGCATACACACTCCCACTAGGCGAAAAAGAACTCTGAGAAGCCTTAGCTTTAATACAACTAACACAATCAGAACGAGTTCCAAAAGACGAATCAACCTTGCCAGGCAATAAATTCCGACGAAACATAGTCAACAATCTTGCAGAATGTAAATGGCCCAACCGATAGTGCCATAAATCCCAAACGGCCTTGTTCTTTAAACTAACAGAACGAACAGAATTGGCAGACACAGAATCAAGTAAAGAACTACTAGTCTTAGCGCCAGGAACGAGCGAGGTATACGCCTTCTACTCACGATCAGCACCATGAATCGTAGGGAGATCGCCTAGCTCATCCAACACAAAGACCCGCCCTTGTTTACTTCCTGTCCCGATCACCATCCCCGTCTTCTGGTCCTGTACCACACAACCGGCGGAATCAAACTTAACATCACAGCCATGTTCAGTCAACTGCCCGACAGACACAAGATTAGGTAGTAAACTCGGAACATATAAGGTGTGCGGAAGAGTGATCAAGCCTGTCGAAGAAGTACCCCTACCAACCGCGGCAACCTGATCCCCATTGGCGACTCGCAGATGTATATTCGAGACAGGCTCGATCTTATCAAAAGAACTACGAACATGTGTCATGTGATTAAACGCACCGGAATCTAATAACCATTTTGAAGACTTACCGGAGAGAGCACCCGAGGCAAAAGCTGAAGTGAGAGCTTGCGGTAAAGCCTCTTGTAAGGCTTCATGAACTAGTTTGCGAACAAACTCCGGTGAGAAGGCTGAACTTCCACCACCTGAACGCGGAATGCCGGGCGCCATTTCTGGAGAGTCAGCAACAGTATATGCAGCGCCTGAGGATTTATATGAGGCTCGGCCTGTGGAAGAGGAGCCAGTAGTCGAGCCAGTCGAAGAACCATAGTTAGGAAAGCGAACCTTCCCTCGCTTAACCAAAGGAGGGCACTCGAGAACAGTGTGACCCTCCTTCTTACAATAATTGCAAAAGGTTCATTTCTTGCAATGTATCTGAACATGTCCATGTTCATGACAATGATGGCAAATTAACTCACCACCAGATGGAGTGCCAAATCGTGGACGCTGAGAAGCTCCAGCGCGGCCAACTGCGAACGCCGAATCCGAGGGTTGATTGTCGATACGGGACTGACTTTTCAGTCTTGTTTCCTCACGTATGAGGTCAGCCACCACTGCATCCAGATCAGAAATCCCCCGATGAATTAAGGAGGCACGGATTGGCTCGAATTCAGCTCGCAATTTCATGAGAAAGTGCATCACTCGAGTCTGCGATCGTTCCTTCTGCACGTCAACGGAAGCACCGCCAGACAACAATGAAGCTGTGACCAAGTCATACTTGGTCCATAGGTGTAGAGCATGTTTGTAATAGCCTCGTACGTCGCGATCACCCTGAGATAAACCAGCCAATTCCAATTCAAGTTCATAGAGCCGAGAGGGGTCAGCTTGAGAGTATGTACCACATATATGTTTCCACATCTCATGAGCCGTGCGGAAACGTCGGAGACTAAGCGCTGTTTGTACATCCACAGACCCCAATAACCAAGCAATTATGCGAGCATTAGAGGCTGCCCAGTCGGTCCTCTCCTTCTCGCTAGCCTCCGCAGCTGGCTGCTTCAATTCGCCTGTCAACACAGACGATAACCTTTGTCCTTCTACAAAGTTTCTGAAGTGAAACTCCCATAGTGGAAAATTCTTTCCATCGAACTTAACCGAGACGGCATCCATCTTGGTAGAATCCATACTTACTTAGATTGAACAAAGAGCACAGTCGGAACAAGGAAACGGACCTGAGGGTACACCTGACGTCGACGGAAAGGGTGTACACAGCTGCTGAATAACAAGACTGCACACCGCCACCACCGAAGAACAAAACCCTAGCCAATAACAGAAAACGAAGCCCTATCCAACCGATGCAGCAAACCAATCAAAGCAATACCAGTCCTTGAATCAGAGAGGCTCTGATACCATGACAAAATCAAAGGAAAGAACAAGAACACCGAGTTTAACGTGGTTTCCCTGATCAACAGGACTAGTCCACGGGAGAGGCAGAGCTCTCCAAGTCAATCTTATTGCCTTGTTGCCCAGTACATACGAGATACATGAATATATATACAGCTCTACCGAACCCTAATGACTAAGGTCTTTTAAGTACAATTACAATTAGATACTTATATTTTCAACAGAACAAGAAGTAAAAGCAAGTGGAAAAGTCTCCATGTATAACACAAATCACTGCGGGCCACCTGCTTGTTTCTTCTCGACGATGGTACCGCTGCGCGGGAGGATTTCGAGGTCGACGAGGCTGAGAGATTGTCAGATAGATGTTTTTTGGGGGTTTAATTGTTATTCGTATGTTTTATGTTATGTTGGATATTTTGTGAACTATTGGGGTTAAATCGGTTAGGTTACGTATTTGGATAGTTATAGGGAATTAGTCAGATTATATATATTCTGTGTTAGGAGTAAGCTAGGTTTAAGCAATAACATCAGAATTATTCCCTAAAGCTATATCTCTCTCTCAGCAGCCGAACCCTTCCCTCTCTCTCCTAGCCGTCGGCGACCCTCCGTGACCCAACCCCTCTTCTTCTTCTCATCCCTAATTCCAGTTTTACCTCACCCAAATCTCAAATTCCCTTATCAATCGTAATCCCTAATCGAACACCTAGGTCCGTGCTCTTTCAATGGTATCAGAGCTTGGCTGGTGTGCCGATTTGCTGAAGTGTGCTGAAATTCTGAAGATGACAAACCCTTCAGAGCAGCCGCAGCCGCCGCGACCGAGCAAGGAGGTCATAACGGTCAAGGTTGTGACGACCAATAAGTACGACGCGATCGCGGCGTCGTTGGTAAGCCTGACGGGAGTTACTGAGAGGGCAGCAGAGGGACGGACCCGGAGAAGCCGCACGACTCAGGTAACGGCGACAGGTCGACGGCGGGACGGAAGAAGCCGCATGGCGCGGCCAACGGTGATGGAGTAGTGGCGGCGAAGGTGATGGCCGCAGGGTTGGACGCGAAGACCTCGACCGGTTCGTGTGTCCGTGTCGCCGAGGAGGGAGGCAAGGGCACGACTGATGCGCTAGAACCGGTGTTCAGCGGGCCAGGCTTGCTGCCTGTTCCAACTGCCCAGGAGATCTATGAGACCCGCGAAAAGAAGAAGATGGCTAAGTTCGATGTAGAGCCATGGCGGACCGGGCCACAGAAGGGCAAAATATGGATGTCGGGCGGGCCGAGCTTCCTGGGCCGGGCCCCGGAGACGAAGGCGATGAACTAAGCTTCGTGGATCAGGAAGGCTGGTGGGTGGAATCAGAGCCCGATGGTGCTGGACGGGGCTAGGTAGCCGACCCAAAACTAGGTCGAACCGAGCGGCCAGCTGGGTCAATGACAGGTCTGACCGATATCGGTCGAACCAGACCTAGTCAGATCGAACCGGACCAGGGCGGCTTCCGCAGGGCAGCAGCTGGGACGCGAATGGAGGAGAAGCTGGGCACTTCCGGCAAGTTCCCAAGACGGGATACCCCCATGGGGAACTCCTCGAGCAGGCAGGGGACACCAGAGTCAGGGAATGGAAGTAGGGCAAGGATCTGGGACCATGCCAAGGCGTGAGGAGGATTATCAGTGGAAGATGCCCGACTGGGCCTACTCTCATCAGCAGGGCGCGGAGCCTGACTACCATCGCTATGGACCCGGCCGCCAACCACCACACTTAGACGCCGACATGTATGGGTACAGTAACCCTCTGTATGACTATGATAACGAGTTGGTGTTCAGGGCTAAACCCACAGTTATTGAGTTTTCCAAATTAGATGAAAATGGTGATGTGGGACTGTGGTTATATGCGGTGGAGAGGTGGTTCAAGAACCACCCAATCAGGGAGGAATGGAAGGCGCATCTAGCGTCCTTCTATTTGGAGGGGGGATGCCCTCCAATGGTGGAAATGGACTAAGAGGGCATATGTGGCAGCACAGGAGAGTATCTCCTGGCCCAGGTTTCAGGATGAGCTATAATACCAGTTCGGGAGAGCGGAAGGATGGGCGCCAAAGCAGCTGGCCAAGCTGCCGGGCCGAGTTCCAGAAGCTAGGGAACCAGTGCAGGGAAATGACCGAGGAAACATTGGTTGGTCCTTGTATGGCAGGTCTACGACCGGAACAATCCCCAACATCAAATTCTTTGAACCTGACTCTCTTCGAGTTGCTTTTAGCCTTGCAGTTCGCTAGGAGGAGGAACTCGCCCGCGGGAGATCCTCGGTGGGAAAGATCCAAAAGGTGAGTGGAGGAGCTGGGGTCGGCGCATGCCAAGGGGCTGCCGCGTCCTCGCCGCCGACTGTGGCTTCTAACCCGGTGGGCGCTGGGGCTGCTCGCTTTCTGGCTAGGCTTCCGCCAAGAGGATTCGTCAGGTTGACCCAGGCAAAAATTGACCAGAAGCGCAGGTGTTACACCCCGCTCTTCCCAAAAGTCAAAATGAATATTATACCCTTGGGTCAAGTTCTACTGTATTGTCGATGAGGATTAAAAATGTGAAAAATTGTTCAAACGATGTCGAGTTTCGACATGAAGTGAGAAAATTATGAACGTTAACTGAATTTCAGATTAAACTCACTCACCCGTAATTAGGAAATTCCCAGAGGAAATTAAACCTAATACCTCAAACTAATTAAAACCCTCGTTGGTAACCTCGCACCGTCCCAACCCAAACTTAATAAAACCCCTCCCAAAAAGACAAAACAGGGCGGCTCTTGGCCAAAAGAAAGAAAACGAGGAACTCATTGGGCCAGAAGAAAAAGCTTCCGTCCCAATATATATACATGATGGAGATGAGAGTGAGGAGCAGAGGCGGGCACAGTTGGACCTTTGGAATACCGTCACCTCGGAGAGAATTCGATGGAGGGTGGGAGATATAGCCATCGGGCCACGATCCATGGAACAACAGCGGCCACAAGAAACCCACAATTCCATCTGGATCCTCCCTTCTCCAAATCCTCGGAACCACCAAGGAAGTGAAATGATGGAAAGCCACTCGTGACGATCGCGTCGCGACCAGTTATGCGTTGTCGGTGCCCAGCAGTGGACGAGCATAAAAGAAAGTCTGGGAGCCAAGAAATTTTCGACGTTCAGATATTGACAAGGATGGGACGTAGCAGTAAGAGCTCGAACGGAATTGACCTTCGTTCATGGATCTAAGCCAAGGTGAGTAGATAACCAGCCATTATACTTATATCTTAAGATTGAGATGCATCTAGTAGTTCGATTCTGGAAATTAGTGTCGTGTTGCCTACTGTTTCCAAAGGATATCAAGGTTTGTAGGTTGGTCAGTTTAATTACGAGATGCGGCTTAAAATAGGGTTGCTGAGGATGGTCAATTAGGTGAATAATTGGTGGAAGACAAAGGTTAACGTGGCCAGAAGTAATGAGTGGGTTCATTTGGGTTGGAAATAATTAGTGTTTTGGATGGAATTACATGTGTTGGCGAGATGAAGACATGAGATGGGAGTACAATTTCTTAAAGAGCTTTTGGAAGCGCATGGAGAGGTGGAGCTTGTGTGTATGCGTCAAGTGGGAGGTGATCCTAAGGCGATGAACTCTTACTAGTTCAAGTCGATCGACTGATAACTAAGGTGAGTGTAAAGGGGGTAAATTCTATGCCTTACGTTTTCTTTTAAGTATTATGATTTTAAGTATTTTAGTGAATTGGTTACCGTTGCTTGGTTATGTTTATGATTGATCATTTGTACTTTCCTTGAGTTATGGTTTGAGATGATCTTGTGATATTTGAGGTGATTTTGTTTGAGCTATGCTAGAAGTGAATGGTTATAAATTACTTTGAATTTTTACGAGTATAAGTTATTATTAAAGAGTAAGAAATAAGTTCTTTTTAAGAAGTAACTCACCTTCAAGAAGGTGAAGTCGTTTTAAGTGTTTTTAGTCACTAGCGCCAGTCCGTTGCCATTTGAGATTTTCAGATAGAGTAGCACTTATGCTCTTTAGATCTTTGAGGCAGAGCAGCAGTTATGCTCTTGAGACTTTTAAGATAGGCAGCAGTTATTCCTTTGAGAATCGTGGTGAAGAGCCACCACGATAAGTTTAAGATGTTAGGAGGATGAATCGTTACGACTTCCCTAACTAAGTTTAAGTTTAAGGAAAGCCTGGATGGCTTCTCATACGTATGAGTTGGAAACCGGACTAGCTAGTGAGGGATCCCCGTGTCAGTCAAGAATTTAAGTGGAGATTTGAGTTTTAAGAGTACAGTTTCAAGAGTCAAGATTTTAATAGTGGAGGTACAAAACAACTTCCACTGAGTTTAAGTAAGGTGATCAAGTATTAATAAGTATTTAAACGTAAGGGCGTAGACTGACCCCATCTCACTCACCAGTTTGAAGAGCTAGAGGAGCTAAAGGATCAGTTAGTGAGCAGCGAGTTCGAGGGCGGTCAGCTAGAGGAGAGCAGTATAAGCGTCAGGGAGGATGCTTAGTCAAGATTTTCAGTAGCAACAACTTTAGAGATTATTAGTTATTTACATTTTATGATTATGAGTATAGACTGGAGATCAGATTGAGAATTTAAAGTTTGAGTTTAATTTGCCCACATGTTAGGGCTTTGCTAGTAAAAGTGTGTGTTTTCAGTATTTTATTTATGAAAATTTTTCCCAGTCGCAATTTAAGATTTGAGTATTTTATTTATCAATGGCATTTTAGTAAAAGTAGTACCCGGCCGGGTTAGGGTGTTACATTTTGGTATCAGAGCCGGGTCTTCCTCTGTTCCTTGGTCTCCAAGGAATACTGGAATATCGGTCTCAGTTTTAAAGGATTTTGTTTTAAAGGAAAGGAAAATGAGTCAAGGATCGTCTTTTAAGAGTTTATAGAATCTCTAGTCTACTCTAATCGTATTAAGGTAAATAACTAAAGTTCTAATAGAAGAGGTTCCAATCATAAGGGAATACCTCTAGGATTTTGAAGGAGTTGAAGGAGTAGTACGAGGATTCTACTACTAGGCAGCAAGGAGAGGACCGAATAAGCAAAAGCAAACAAATAGGAGAACTATGAATCTCCGAAGAAAGAGCTACAGTCACTAGATGTCAGTAGCTATAATGATGGGAGGATTTCAGGGTCCTTGACCCTATGCGGTGGTGAGGAGGCAACAAGCCAAGAAAAGAAGAGGTACCACCAGAAGTCCCTCAACTAGCTTTAGTTGTCGACGACTTGACGCTATTACAACATAGTGACAAGGAGTAGTGGAAAGATTAGACTTTAAGAAAAGCTAGGGTAGTATAAATGAAGCAAAGGAGGAAATAAGTAGGTTACAGGGAATATGAAAGGATTTCAAGAAGTCAAAAGGGCATGGCGGAGAGGAGGCATGGTAATTTCCATATGACGATAAAGGAACCCTTAGAGATAAACTACGTAACTAGAGAAGAGGGTACTTAACCCTAGGGAGTTAGGCTGATGACAAGCCTTTAAAAGCAACAAGACAAGCAACGAGATAGATGATGTAGAGGGAAAGTTATGGTCTCGGTACGAGCACCATTGGACGAGATGTGGAGGAAAGTGCCATCAAAGTCTAAACCATGCCATGTAGAAGACAACAGGGAGTCAATAAGTAAGAAAAGATATGGAAGGTGAGAGGGAATATCAGTTAGCTAGTAAATGGCAGTATGAGTAGAGAACCAATTCTCAGCAATGCCCGAGTTGAATACTAAGTCAACACAGAGCTAGAAAGAGGATAGTAGAGACCCTACAAACTACCCAGATCACGAAAGATCAGGAGGTCGTTGGGACCGTTGAAAGGGGAATGCAAGAGTTCACGATGATCTATTATGGGATTGTCCTATCCTAAAAAGAGGTAGCAACTAGCCGCCTAAGGTACATGAGGAGTGATAGAAGGAGGAACCTCTCTACTAAGTTGGAACTTGAGGGCTAAGAGCTGAAGTCTCGAAACTAGCTATAGAGTAAGTAATTAAGCCAACAGAGTATAGACAAGTAAGTGGAACATTGAATAAATGTTATAGTGAATGGCAGAGAATTCGAGGAAACACATGGAAGTTCCGATGAAGGATTGAGAATATGTGTAGGTGACTCGTGTTCAAGAAAATGCATAGTGGAGTACGAAGAGGAAAAACATTACCAAGAAGGAGGAAATCATTAAGTTACCTTACCCAAGGTGCCCCACTCTGAGCGAGTACGACATAGTAGGATGCCATCCATAAAAGAAGGCCAGTTAAGGATAAATTAGTGATATTTAGTTAAGCCACTAAGAGTCATGACTAAGAGATTAAGGCTATGTACAAGCATCCGTCGAGACAAAGACGTGGATGAGGTATGTTCAAGCCGACCAAGGGCAAGCCACTATTGGAAGCTTTGACCCAAAACAACAACGAGAAGATACTCAACAGAGTTTGGTGACCGAAAATAGTACAAAGCACCAACAGAAGGGTAGTAAAAGTAAAGAAGCAAGGAGGACACCATAGGACGCTATAGGCAATAAAAAAAAAGGTGGTTGTCGACCGGAAAATGAATCCGTGAAGGAAGATAGTTGAGACGTGGTCAAGCACCATCGTGAGTAGAAGTCGTGGATGTCATCTGCCAAGTCTACCTAGAGAAAGTTTCTAGTGGA